CTGTACAATCACAATGTTTTATAACAAAATAATTTGCAAATGACCAATGACAAGGTAAGTTAATTCACGATTTCCTTTTTTATTGAAAAAAGCGGCTGTCAATGATATCAAAAAGCCTGGAGTTTAATTTTTCGCTGGGAATGGTTGTTATAAAGTTGAAAAGTCTTAATTTTTTTAGCTGTTGATTTTGGTAAAATCTTGTTATTTCAAATTGTCCAAAAGTTCTTTGGAATTTTTGAATATCCACGTCTGATTCACACCACTTCTTGAATATATTGTTGCATAGTTCTCTTGAAGTTTTCCCTTCACTACTGTCAATATCTTAGTAAGGAGTAAAGAAAGAGGCTTGGTTGAACATTTACTGGATCCCGCTATGTATCTTTGTTTGTAAGGATCCTTAAGAAGTTTCGAAATCCAATATATATATATGGTAGTTCAAATTCATTTTGGTTTATTTGATTAATAAAAATAATAAAAACTGACACATGATTTTAAAGAATATTTTCCTTGGAAAGGAAACTATAAGTATAACTATGCGTATGAGTTGGATTACCATTTTAGAGTTGTATTCAAGTTCTTCTAAAATACAATTTATATAATGACACTTACAAACGAAGACAATGTCCAGGTCAGAACCTGTGAACCCTCTGATATAGGAATTTAAACCCGAAGCACAGAAAGGCGATATTTAGACGAGATGCAATGCACCAAAATACTTCATGTTGACCTTTTCCTTCATTCAAGTCGATTATGAAAAAAACATAACCAAACCATAACCCGAGAACATTTTAACATGATATTCAAGAAGCTCTGATTTTCACAATGAAGCGAACGAATATTATAGATCGATTTACCCTTGATATTATTTCTTCATAATTTGCACTCACCAATGTTGGTCATGAAGGGTACATATGTTTTTGTGTAACAAAAAAAAATACCCACTAATTGTTTATTTTATTTTCGTTTACAAAATTTTAAATTATTAGTTGTTTGCTTGAAATTTAACACCATTTGCTTGGCTATATATAATTTGAAATAGGTGATAGTTTAAATTCACTTTCATACAAGCAATGAATCATGTATACGTATACGCTAAAAAAATTATTTGAAATAATTGTTAGACATAAATAAGGACCAAAATTCATATTACTTTTAGCGCAAAACCATCTCTCTAACCACTTTTCTCGAAAGTAGTCGTATATCAGATACATCTAGTAATGCATGTGGATGATGTTGAAGATATAAGGTACTAGGTACAGATTTCAATGATCACCAAAACACATACACACGTAATATATAGAGATCTGTTTCATCATCATCATCATCATTATTAATAATAATAATAATAATACATGTATACAATGTATTAATAATGTGGAGACAGTATTTGGGGTAAAAGTTGGTACTCATTGTTTCCAACGACAATTCTGTAATTTTCAAATACCCGGTATCCTATGTTGCATAACATTATTGTAAATCACTGTTTGTTTGGGAGATAATTATTTTGCGAAATTACGCAAAACAGTTTCCTCGCAAAAATGACTAGTTTTCAGTTTACTTTTGACGCAGATCTATTTCGGCACATTTTAAACTCTATTACTTTTTACCTGTCGACAGACGTGGACACAATATTATGCATGCTACATTGCTATAATTTTAAAGAAACTAGCGACAAAGTAATTGTATGCTTCTTTGATGACAAGAGAGAAAGTTATCAAAGAAATTAACAACACTTGCAGAGGTCAATGCAGTTTAAAAACAAACACAAATATACGTAATCTGCATTAAATATTAGTAAAGTAAATGGTAAACCTGTGAAGAAAGTAGTCAGGTGTACCGAATACGGAGGGTAAACTCCGGTGCTGATATCGGAGGTAGGAAACGTATGGTGTATGTCTATTTACAGGCCGAGTTCAGCTTTAAATAATATGTCCTATAGAAGATGTCCAAGCATTCCTTTTATGAATGTCGATCTATTTTGGTTCTTTGAATGCTACTGTGGTAAAATATACTAGTAATACAGGATATTAATTAAAAGATTAGAAATATCAATAATACTTTAATTCGAAGGAGAGATGTTTAACATACTTGGGTTGTTTTCATTGTAATTGAAAAAAAAGCCATCAAGTTGGTAAGAGGAATGAGCAATGGTATCTTTGATCTGCTGTCCGCTTTACTCGAATAAGCAAAAATTAAAATTCGTGAGAAAAAGGTTTAAATTTAGCTCTTAGTTGAAACGTTCTATATATTTTGAAAAAATATTAAATTTTTTCTATAAATTTTAATGACACTCCCTCGCGATTAAAAGCCCAAAATTACATTATACCATTTTCTTTTCCTAAATATTTTTTATAGTAAATACCATTGTCCTTTTTCCTTTATCTTGAAGTAAAATATGATTACATGACTGACACATCCAAGCACTAAAAGCGACAAACAGACATTCGATTAAGTTTTTTCAAAGTACGTTTTGAATTTGTTCCCCATAAATATTACTTTATTCAAATGAACAAATGTTGGTTACCAAAAGAAAGAGACCCATGGGCCTTATAGGTCACCTGAGTATCATGTAACAACTTTCCAACAATTGAATTTGGTTCGTGTTTTTGCAATCATCGCAGTCATTGCAATCATGCCAACAGTTTGACTGCTTGATCATGATGTCCAGGAGTGAAAAAGAAGATTTTTAAAGATTGCATTAATTTTGGTGGTTTTCGTCTTACTCCTCAGGCCTCATGGGGGCATGGGTAATGAAATTCACAAATTTTGTTCCACTTTGTCTCATAAATGCCGTATACTAAATTTGGTTGAAATTGGTTCAGTGGTTCCAGAGAAGAAGCTAAAAATATTCAAAGTTTACGACCGACGAACGACGTACAAGGGACGATGTACGACGACGGAAGAAACAGATAGCAATATGTCACGTGAGTTTACTCAGCACGTTTCTTAAAATGTCTGTCTATTTTGTTTAAATTACGAGAAAACGTAAATAATCCAATATTCATTTGCGCGAGTCTGTGTGTACGCTCAAAAAGTGAAAATAAATGAGAATTGACGAAATACAAACCTCTGAATACATCAGAGGTGGTTTCAGGTGCAACACCCATTGTCGATAATAATTTATTGTTGTATGAATAACGGAAAGTCGGCATATATTCATTGAACATTACAAACTAGCGACAGAACACACACGGACCTCTAAAACATCAGAGATGGGATCAGGTGCCATAGAAGAATGAACATCACCTATACTGACCGGTCACACCCGCCGTGTGGCCCCAATCATGATCGGGAAAAAACAGAAAAATCTCGACAATTCGGTGTGTATTGACCTAACAATAAGTACATGTATGAAATACATCGGTCAGCATTTGACCCAATGATATTTACTGATAATTCATTATATCGACCATAAAACTTTAAAAAATGATGCCTTAAACAAAACTGCTGATATTCCTATATCATCAAAATTATAATCGTAACTTGTCGTAATCCTTATCAAAATGTCTAATTTATGCATACACCAAAATACTTGCTACGTAGTTTTTTCATAAGAAATTCTACTTAATATAAATATAACCGGACCTTATTGTAAAACAGCACAGTTTGCATCCATAGGCTTTCGAGTAAATGTGCTTTGTATAAGACTTCAAGGATGTTTCAATGAAGAATGGTTACTCTGGCTTATTTTCCATCTTCTTTTAAAACGTTATTTAGCTGATGGCCATTAAAAATCCATGTCAACTGAAGGAGCTGAAGACCATGATATTAACTAGTCCTCATTTATCTAAAGGAAAAGTTTTTTTAACGCGTTGAAAAGATTTATTCTACTGATTCTAGCATTCAATTTTTTATCACTTCAGATATAATTATTTTGACCTTGAATTGTTGCAGAGTAATGATAAAGTTTACATTTTCTCAGCTATTTCAGCTATTTGCCGGGAGACTAAATGCCTTTTTTAAAAAAATCAGAAAGATGTATTCAAAGGTACAATATTTGTAGATATCTATGAGTAGGCAAGAAATTTATCCAGACAAAGAAAAGAACTATATGCGGTATTAACCAACATTTGCCCCCCAAAATCAAACTTTGATGGAGTAATATTTAATTAAGTCCTTAAACAGGGGAGTATATGCTGACTTCAAAGCACTGAATAATTTCATAAGTAATGACGTCATATGTACGTAATGACGTCACAAATATGACGTAAATTTCAGTTTTTTATGAATTTTGCAGAAAAATGTACATATTTCGTCGATATTTTAAAGAAAAGTCACCGAGCGCATGTGTGTTCAGGATAAATATTTTGATATAATGTGTAGAATGATAATATCAATGAAATATGTCAATATTGTTCCTGAACACACATGCGCTCTATAAATTTTAAAGCTTAAATTGTTGAAATTTTGTCCTCTTTCTGAAAAAGAATATTAAATCAGACTAGTTTGTGACGTCATAAAAACAGAAATTGTGAATACACTGCTCTGGAACTATAATATTTTCTGTTAACTTATATTTCTCGTACAATTTATTGAATTCAGCACATTTCAGGAAGTTTTCAAAATTTGACTTTTGTGGGGGCAAACATATGCAATATACCGCATATAGTTCTTTGTTTAAATGTTTATTTGTTTGCCTTTTAAAATGAACACAGTTAGAACCTAGCTAATTTCCATCTGACAACATATTTACATTTTACAACATGCAGTAACTATAGATACTAATTAACTAAAGCTATACAAAACAAAATCTGAACAGCCTCAACCAGTATTTTTTAAGGTAATATGAAATACGTGAAAATTGGATCTGCGTTGTTCTTTGTAAAGTGATTCACGATTTGAAATAAACAACTGACAAGTTTAAATATAGTCAAAATTGGTTGCCTTTTGCACGAAAAATATGAATATTTATTCATGGTCCAATTGCCTTTAAAGTCATTCTTATATATTTCCATCAATAACCATTAAAGTCTCCCCTTGCTGTCTTACAAATTATGTGTTTTCAACCACCCGTGATAGGTACCACGTGATATCTCTGCATATAAATACGCCATCATCTTCCAGACCAGCAATTGAGTCAAGATGGAGAAAGTTGCGAGTTGCGCCGCTTTTCTGCTGATCTTAATGTTTGTGCAGGAATCGAGCTGTTTTCCACGCTCAATTTCTAAAGCATCCTTCAAGCCTTTGGAAGCAAAGCTTCAGAGAAATGTAAGTATGATACGGTCACTAATTTTTTTTCTTGATGCGGCAAAATTTTTAAAAGAATCTCATGTCTATGAACACTCTTTACTTTTGATGTTTTTTGTGTTATAGACTGCATTCAAACGACAGGGCCCCCCTCCCCCGCCGCCACCTAAGGTAATAAATTTTATTTTAAAATGCTTAATTAATCACCATATCTGACCACTACTGTAAATGTGTTAGTGTTAATAGTTGGAGACTTTGACAATTGGGGTTTCTTAGAAAAATGGCGATTGAAGACTTTCAGTAATTAGTACTTCTTAAATGTGGAATTTTTAAAAATGATTGTTAGATATATACCAATTATGCAATAAAAAGCCTCTGTAGTTGAAATAAAATACAGGATGAAGATATTACTAAAATAGAAATACTAATATCTTAAATTGCTTGTGCTTAAATTGCTTGTGTTTACATATACACCTAAATGTTCACCATGTGGTATCTGTATGTATTCCGGCATGTTGAAATGCTGTGTTACTGGTCTTACAAATACAATATTCATTACATCCGGGAAAGGTTATAACTTATAAAACATTTGCATCACACGACAAATAGACGTTCACTGTAAACATTCTGTCGTTAAAGTTACAAGTTCGTATTCAAAAACAGCATATCAACAAGCCGGAATACAAACATTTAAAACACTTCCTTTTTTATAAAGTAAAAAGGGGAAATGAAATTCGTGGACGTCAAAACGAAAACATGTAATTTGTACGTTCAAACTACAGCTTTACTGAGGATTTACGTGTTTTATGCCCCCGTAAACGAAGTTTCGGGGTACATAGTTTTTGTCGTGTCCGTCTGTTTGTTTGTCCGCAAAAACTTTAATCTTGCCAATAACTTTTGATTGGGTCGGGCTATAGCTTTCAGATTTCACAAGTGTATTCCTTGTGAAAAGACCTTTCTTTCGGTACCATCAAATTTGAACTATTGACTTTGGAATGGTCCTACTTTTACCAAAAAAATACCACACAATAACCATGACCATATCTTATGAACAGTTGGGGCTAAGGATTTTATACTTCACATGTGTATTCATTGTGACAAGACCTTTCAGGTAGTATAAATATTTTTTTTTACAGTTTGATCTTGACCTTAGAGTTTGACCCACTTTTTAAAAATTTAACCTTGGAAAGAAGTTTTGAACAATATGAAGCAGGGCTTTCATATTATACAGATGTATTCCTTGTAACAACTTCTTCCTTTCGGTACCAACACGTTTGTCCTTGACCTTTTGGAGTTGCTGTGTAATTGAGAATGTTCAATCCTCGCCATAACCTGTTATACGGGGGCATCAGTGTTTCACATCCTGTACTCCTTTGATTTTAGTATATATATAATATACAATGTATTTATATTGCAGCCTGTATGGGAAATCATAGGAAAAACAAGAGAAGACTTCATTAATGGTAAGTATAATATATAATTTTCAATTCCTGATAAAATAAAATTATGCATGCAACATTCTCTTTCTCTCTCTCTGATACGTTGATTTTCCATCCTTTTTTGACGTATACAGAGCATAAAGATGAACTTACATCCGAAGTAAGGGCCACTATTACAGCAGAAATGGAGGGTATAGTGGAAAACATAACGAGGGGCATGGAAGAATTCGCTAGGAGTAAGTCACTTTTTCCTCTGTAAAGAACAGATAACAGAAATTTTAAATATCATTTCTTCGTTTTGCAAAAGCATTATGTTTGGGTAACATATTCCCATCATCTAATAATGATATCCTGAATATTTCTTACATGCAATTTGCAATATTTTATTTGAAAGTTATTCAGAGAACAGACTTGTTTGGCTATATTTTAACTGAAGGTAACTAAGTTTTACTTTTGAGAATTTGCTAACGAGCAAGGTCCATGTTGTCGCTAAACGTTCTTTAAGCTGAGCGTTCTTTAAGTAGATTTTATAAACCGTCAAGGACGACACCAGTATCTATTTAATTTTCTTTTTTAAATTTAGCCTTGTCCTGCATGGTGATAACAATGGCACAGGGGACGCGCTCGGTGGATGCTGGCGAAAGTTTAACTGACATTAAAAATGACATCGTATCAGAGGAAGAGGCTGAGGAGAGAGAATTAGATGACTTGTTTACTTACCTTGGACTGGAAGACGACACGAAAATCTGTAAGTTATGAAAGAAGTCATTTTGATTTTTAATTTTAAAACAAATGCTTATTTTTATCCAATCATTCGATTTCGGAAAAAAAAATTCTATAATTTTGTTAATTTTCTTTTTTTCGAAATGGTAAATCTTTTTCCTAGATATGTGAAGGACTTATATAATATTACAAAATTATAATTAATTTCAAGCTTTTTGAATATACTTACCATCAATCACATAAACAGAGAAACAATAAATTAAGATTTAGGTAATATGTACATTAGTAGTACAGTATAGTATAGAATCAAGAATAAATACGAGACAAACCCTTAATGCTTATAATTGTCCTAGAAATTGTTCAAACTTTTCCCACTTTTCATTTTCCCTTTCTTGTTTATCTATGTTAAAACCACTTTTAAAGTCCACTTTTGAAACAATTTCAAAACACTTATCTTTTAAGGTCCGATTATAATGGATATTGGAAATGATGCCTTCGATGATGTACAAGAATTTGCAGTGTGTTCAAGACTTGTTGGCGTACATACTGAGGAGAAAATGGAAAGTCATGGTATGAATACGAGTAAAAAATAAATAAAAAATAATATTGAAGAAGCAATTAAAATTTTAAAGCACAATACAGTAATTATAAAATTATGATAATATTGGATGTAAATCATTACAATAATAATTCAATTAATATTATAAAATAATAAGTAATAGTTATGACCTGAGTGAAAAATACATTCGAAATTGAAAATTTAATGATTAACAGTTCTTTTCACAAACATGTACAAGCAAGACCTTATTTTGCAAAGTCACTCATGTTTATATAACTTCATTCAGATATATTTCAGGGACTTTTAATCAGAAAATCATGGGATATAAATTATATAAATATTTTCTTATAAGCAAAGTAGCCATCTTTTAATATTATTAAATATACGTGACTCAGTTTAATTACGTCATAATCTCTGATAAAATATGTACAAAACCAGATTGAAAGCACAGAATTTGGGAAAAAAAATTACTGTTTGTTTGAGTTCACTATCTTGTATAAAAATATCTAAAAACACTTAAACTTTCTGGCAAATATTTTCAAAATACGGAATAAATTGATCCACTCTTCTTTTCCCTAAACTTTCCAATTTTCGCTGACGTCATAGTGGATCTTATGTTAAGTATATACAAGGTAAAACACTTTTGAAACAATTTCAAAACACGGGTCATGATCAGTACATGATAGGATATTTTATGAATTACAGAACACAAAAAATATTTTTGCATGGTTGTTGACGGAAATATATTGTACTACAATTTGTAGTTATGTCTTACTTGGCTTATTTCGCAAATGTGTGACGTCATAGTAGGGTTTTCCCGTACTCGAGAAATGTAAACATGACACGTTTTTCTCATGCTCATGTCTTGTTTAAAAATGCCCTGTAAAAATTAGCTCAGCTTCACCAATTGATATTTTTGCAGTTAATCAATAACATGCCGAACTTGCATTTCGACGTAATTTTCCAAATATTAAATGATAGGATTTTTTGTAAATTAATTTTTTTGTCGTTTAAGTTGTCTTAAAAAGAACGTAATTTTCCGTCTTCAGATGCGATGTGACAAAAGAATCTTGCTTTTTCGAATTTTTAACAGTATTCATACTCTGAAATACTTTAAAAGACAAATGTTCGCTGACATATTTTTTAAAATTGAAAAAATTCCATTAACAGTAATCTTTTCACAAACATCAAAATTTCACTCAGACACTGTGGGGCATAGTATTTGTCACTCAATATCTCAGAAATAAATGAAATCTATGATATATCTGCTTTAAGATATATACTAAATAAGAGATATACAAAATATGAAAAAAATTGAATGACAGGTATTTTTTCAGCTAAAGGTCCTTCATCCCCTTAAACAAATAATTTTCATTCAATAAATAGATACTTTTATAAAGCTGATCATGGATAATGTGTAATAGTTTTGACTCAATGCATTTATATAATATAAAACTTAGATTAGATTTGACTTCAGGCTTTAAATATATTTAACAAATTAAAAATTATTAGTATACCAATGAACCTCAAATGATGCTGGATTCAAAGCAAGTATTGATTTTTTAATTGAATTTTAATTCTGAGTGTAAACAGACGTCTCTGGAGCATGGAAATCAATGCATCAGTTATCACATTTTGAATTTCTTTTCATATGATGAACTGCAATGGCATAAGGTTTAGATGTCTTTTTTTTAAATCTTATCAATGGGCTAGTTTATTTTCGCTATTTAAATTTGACGACATTTAATAAGATCATTTTAAGTTGAACAAACTCGTGTTGACCTTACTCTGACCTTTGTAAAATATATTAAGAGATAATCACAAGTTGGAATAACAATTTGAATATTTTTGGTTTCTGCGAAAATATTAACATTAAATATTTTTTTCTATGATATAAAAACATTGTGTTCTCTCGTGTTTACAATTATAATCTTCTGTTTATTCCATTGATTATTTATTGAGAGACATAAAATCTGTTGCACATGTGTACAAAGTGTGTGTATAATTTGATGAAAATTATCGATAAATCTTAAACTAGTGAACAAAGAATATTTCTAATGCATACATGTACCATTCTTCACATTTTCATTCTTAAGATGAAGACACTCTGGACAGCTTTGTAGACAAACTTGAAGATTTCATTATCGGCATGTTCTCCTTAACACGTCTTTACTTGGACTATGATTTCGGTAAGATGCTCAAATGGATATCAAGTCAAAATATTATTGTAAACAAATGTTTGCATTAATTGTAATATTCATGCATAAAAGAAATAGCATGTTCAATATTTAGAACTCTATTTCAGGGGGCCAGGATGATGATGGAAGTGAAACACGACGCAAGCTCAGCGATGAACGTAAGTGTCACTCACCTGTTCTGACGACAAAATTGATATTCACGGCATTTAATTCATAAATAAATTTTTTTAATGAAAATTTAATTTGCTCGTCTTCTGCTTTTAAATTGGTATTTTGAAATGTTATAATTACACAGCAATTTGTTATTAAAAGTATATATACAGATGACTTCATATTTTGTAGAATATCATGATTTATTACCTGTAATCTCTAATGAATTGTTTTCGTTAATTTGATGTATTCATTCATTTTCTAAGTAAAAAAGGATTTTTACATTTAACACTGATGTTAGATTGTACAATGTACAATACTTCATTCTCTTTACTTTCAGAACTGAAAGAAATCAAGCGAGTCCTGGAAAAGTACCTCAGTGCACCATTATATAAGAAATGAAGATGTTTCGTTTTTTTTCTCCTGAATTATTAAAACTGCTCAACAAATTGTTCGATATAAATATATCAATCAAGATCGATCAATTTATTACAAGTTCTTTCCTTGAACAAATTGTTACCTTCTACTCTTTATTAGCATCTTATTATAAAGGTCTGTATACTACATGTATTTATACTTTTTCTTAAACATTATGTATATGTATAATCAATAAAAACAAGTTTTATTTCTTATAGTTGTATCTTTATCAGGTATACGAGTTTTATAAAATATATATGAAGTTCTGCTCATTTTTTTTTTACTCTTATGTATTTAAATCTTTTATCAGATTGCTTAAACTCCAAAATATCTTACATTAAATTGTTAACTATTTGGGATGTTTTTGACAACACATTTCTACACAAATCTCGGGACGTATTTAAAAATGTTTGACAAAAAAGTATTCATTATATTTAAAGCTCTTTGGCGACAGAGTTCAGTTTGATTTCTTACAACAAATTTTAAGCTTGCTAGGTTCAGTAGACTAGACTGATATGTTTCAGTTTTTCTCTGAAGACTTTTAATTAAGTCTTAAAATGTTTCTTGTAACCAAAGATGAACAAGAGATCATTATGAACTTTGCAAAATATTAAAGAACTACATGTACGCTCGCTGACTTTCGATCCCCGCCTACATTTTATAACCATTTAATTCAAAATTGATGACAATAAAATCCTTGTTTAATACAAAGATTAGCTCAATGGTAATTGATTCAAAATCATTTCAACACCAGTGCTAGATACTAAAATCGCCCTAATTCCAGCTCTTGAGATAAGGGGGTTAGACGATATTTTCCACTGAAATCGGGTTATAAAGCATCACTGTATTTTAAAATAGTCTTTGAAATGAATTAATGTTTATGTAACCTTTTTTCTATGTTTTCGTCATATAAAAGTAAGCATATATATTAGTAAAATACAATGTTTCAATTGTAAAGCACTTCGAAATTGCTGAAAAATAAGCATTTTTTATAGTTTCATGTCTATAAACATATCCCACCTGAAACACAAAAAACTCTGGTATGAATTTGTGTAATGACAGTCCATATTACTCGCAAAGAAAATAATGGAATGTTTGCTTCACGGGGCGGGGGGGGGGGGGGGGGGTAAAAATATTTTTCGTTTTCATTGTGATGTAAGACTATCTAATAAAAGATGTAACTTTCCCTGAAATTCATCAATGATTCATCATCATATATAAGAAACTATTAAAAATTACTGCAAATTATTATGCATAATTTACTAATAAGTTTTTTTTTCTCAAGATAATAATTGCAATTCAGTGTAATTCCACATGAATTATTTGGAATGATCAATTAATAATTACCCAAACCCCTGTTTAAGCTTACATAATTGCTACGATGGCATAATCTTTTTCTTCTTAATTCTGTTATCTGATGATCCTTTTATTGTATAAAACAGTGAAAAATTATTTTTCAAAAATAAGGCAATGCAAGTAATTAATTGGCATTATAAATTTCTGACATTTACAATTTTCTGGAACATAAAAAATGCTGTTGTGAAGGATTTGTTGATGCTAAAAACTCATTTCAAATATTACTGAGTTAAATCCCCCGCCTAGTGTAAATGAGCCTATACTGTTTACATTGTTGCCAGGCAATGCCACAGTGCCCTAAAACTTGTAAACAATAAAAATGGCCGTCGAATGAATTACAAATAAGAAATGGATTTTGTATCGACTTTCGTGTTTATTAGTGCCCTGTGTATATCAGTTTCCAAAGGCGCACTGCAAGCAGGTATGAATACCCGTAATACATTTTAATTTTTAATGAACAAAAATCTATATAGAACAGTATGACATTTAACTCTGGACACGACATAGTCCAGACTTTTTACTACCATTTCTAATTATGATAACCAAAATATTTTTATATCATTGCAGTATTCCAGGGTCTTAATACAACATCTCTACTACTAAAGACATGAAGTCCTAAAACAATCCCAAAATGGCCGTCCCACCAACTATGAATCTACAAATAAAAAATGGATTTTCTCCTAGGTGATTTTTTCGAATTTGTTTAAATAAGTACCCTGTGTATTATGAAACATGGAATGTATCCCATACATTATGACGATGACAAATTTCTCATCATAATATATAGAATACAATCCATGTTTTACAATGTATTGGAGAAAATAATTCATTGACAATATCCGTGGGATTTATCCCATGTTATGAAAAATACATTTTAATTTTTAATGAACAATCTAGTTTTAGGACTTCATATCTTTAGTAGTAGAAAATCTCCAACATAACTTTTTAATATATATATAAATATTTTGGTTATATATTAGAAATCCAGTGAATTTGATATGTCCAGAGTTAAATGTCGTACTGTTATAGCTATTTTATTTTATATATACAAGTATACTGAATCCAGTGAATTTGATAGGCAGAGTAAAATTATTTTTTAAAGAAGAAATTGTGTAGAATCAATTCAGTACTATTTATTCTTGCCTTTTTTATGTTATACTTCTGTAAAAGAGTGCAAGCTTTAAAGCGTTTGCTACACATTGTACACAAATAAACTGGTTATTTCTTACAGTGGTACATGGATTATCTATATGTATACCAGGTAATTTAAAGTGAACAGTGCACGTTTTCAGCAGATATTTTGGAGTACTGGTGAATCTTTTTTACATGTATATATATATTGCATTACATTTTATCAGAATAGTACATTTTCCCATTACATGCATTTTGATTTTTTTAAAAAATCAATTTGAATACCCCAATTCAAATGTAAATAAAGACGCAGAGATAACCCTGTCATAAAAGATAAATTATATTATTTTTACTTTTCCATAGTATATTTACCGTCAACATGCTCCTCGCCTTTGGCTTCATCTTTCACAACAAGCATGCGCGTCCAGTCCAGCACTGCTCTGACGTACAGTAACGACGTCAACTGCGTCATCACCGTTACAGCGCCCTCTGGTCACAAAGTTCTGGCCATTCCTAGGTATGAAAAACATCCAATGAATGAATGAATTCACAAGAAAAAGGGAAAACATGTCACAAAAATAACATTAATTTTTTTGTTTTTCAAATGAACACTTTCTGCGATATATGCACATCATGTCTCATTGTAATAATTTAAATATACCTTAGAAGAAAAAGAAAATCAAAAAAATTAAATAAACATTGTTTTGGCTTTCAGGAGATTTGAACTCGAAGAGCAACGAACTGGAACATGTGTAGACTATCTTAATTTTTACGACGGCACTTCTACTAGTTCTACAAAGATAAATGCGCAGCCTTATTGTGACAGGTCTGGACCGCATAATGTCAGCTCTTCCTCGACGTCAATGACCTTGGAATTCGTCACCGACAGTAGTGCCCGATACCGGGGATTCGATATCATATTTGCAGCCATCAAAAATGGTAATTATTTGTTTGACGATGCAACTGTTAGGGTGGTCGAAGTTAGAACTTTAGTCCTTATTCACTTACTATACGTGTAGTTTGATCCACTAAAAATCGCACAAAACTTGCAATCAGAGCTGTGATGTCACATTCTTGGACCCCAGAACAGGGACTGTAAAAGAGCAAGTTTTAACTCTACTTTCTTTATATTTTGTTTCTTTATTGTTTAACATCCTTATCGAAAATGTTTAACTAAATAAATATGAAAACGCCACAACTTGCCGGTAGAGGAATGCAAATTTATACCTACCGTATACTCGGCACTCAGCTAAGGCCATTGAACAGTGAAGAATCTTTTTATTGCCAGAATCTACTGAGACACGGAACCTCGGTTTATGGGGTCTCATTCGAAGGATCAGTTTCCACATCCCGCAGTGGATTCGAACGCGAGACGTAAGGATCAGCTCCTGTTCGTCTCTAAAACAGATCCAACCACTGCGCCCTGCAGTCGACTGTTGTCAACATTGCACAGTGGTTAGAGCGTGTGTTCTATAGTCGCGAAGGAAGACTCGATCCTTAATCCCACTGCACGGCGTGGAGAACAGACTATCGACCGAGACCGTACATTATAAACCGAGGTCAACGGTCCTAGTAGGTGCTGATATGCAAAAGACCCCTCGCTGCTCTAAGGCTGTAAGTATCGGGTATAGGCTTCCTATACACATGTGCATGACTCCACCTGGAAGTGGTTGCGTCTAAATGCGGTTGAAAAATTCTCATAGGAACATTAACCAAAAAAGCAAATCGTATATAGTATATAGATTTGTGTCTAATTATAAAACTAAACAGTTTTTCTTTAAATATCGCGAGAAAGTAATGTTAATGGAGGTTTTTGAATGCTGCAATTACTGTAAAATAAAGTCAGATGGATATCAAGTCTCCCAACAATCTGTCGGAATTTCCAAAGGCACTGTGTACAGTGTCTTTGTGCCCCAATATTAAACTTTTTTGGCATTATCGAGATACCTTTGGATATTCCCAGGTCATTTTATTAACTGAAATAAAATGTGTTATTCCAAAACTGAATCAACCATATTGGTTACTGCTTTTGATAAATGCTGTGCATGCTGCCATGCTTTTTCATTTCAAGTTTTTACTTCAAATAAAATATTTTAAACCCGTTCTGAAGAAACATCTAAGTTACAGAAGCAATATCTCGAATAATGATTGAAATTGTTCTTTGGCTTGAACACTGTTCGTTTTCTTCACCCACTACATATTTTTAAATTTTTTTTTTAGAAGTAACGTTGTTAAGGAAAAAAGTAACATGCATGTAAACACGATATTTTCTGTTAGCGATTCCTTACTTTTACCTTTTCAGCGCCATGTGCCACGGATTATTTTGGTTGTAGTAATGGACTTTGTGTGGACAGAACGCTGCGTTGTGACAGCTTTAATCAATGTGGGGACGAATCAGACGAAAATGCATGCACAGGTACATGTAACGAAAAAACAACGTGCTGGTTTTTCACTTTACTGGTACATGAACATAAAAATAATGATATGCCATTCTATGTAAAATAATTTAATACGTGCTATAGTTGTTACTTTAAATTTGAAAACCAGTATGACAAGTAAAAAACGTCAACAGCCTTGGGTTTCATTTTTAAAAGTGGTCGGAAAATTCTTAAATATTAGTTTTCATTTCATTTGTAGCGGAGGAACTTGGTATCGTGGACGATAACTCGGCTCTGATTTATGGACCGGCATTTGGACTGGGATTTTTTGTCATACTTTGTATCCTCATTGGAGTTTTAGTTTACAGACACTATAAATGGAAACGTTTTCTCAGAGAGCCTGTACCTCAAGAGCATTATCAAAGCTCTTCAAGTAACTATCCAGTCACCAAGAAATATTACAAGCGAGCCTACCAGAATTATGCATACAAAAGCGTAGATTCGCGACTCCCGTCACGCATGTCCAATGACTTTGAAACTGATGACGACCTTGACGCAGGATCAAGGCCTGTTTCGTCATCTTCATCATCCAAACAGCAAAACCTCACAGTTCCTCGACCAAACCCCGGAAAACTGAACTTGAAATCAAAAACGGGTGCTAGCAATTGTTAGCTAAGACAACTATGAAATTATCTTCTTTTTTTTTTGCATTGAACAGAGCCTTTTCAATTTATCTTGCAACACCTTTTATTTTTGTATGAATTTCTGATACATATTGAAATATTTTTCTTTGTGTAAAATTTAAGACGAATTAGCATTTTAGTCACATTTTAAAATAGTGCAATATAACTCGAGTTATCGAACGTTGACTATCACTTCATTATCCTAATAATTTTGCGAACTGTGTTCCTATTTTTCTCGCCTTCCATTTCACCCTTTCTTTCTCTCTCTTTTCCCTTCCCATTTTCTTTTTCTTTTTTATTTTTGCTTTCTATTAACGACTGACATTGCAAGAAGGTATTTTAAGAATAAAACTATGTTTTTTCAACTTTTTTGTAAACTACTAATCATTTTCGCTGGCGAAAATTATATTTAGATATTAATTTAATAAATATGAAAAGAAATCGAAGTGTTCTGTGTTCTTAAATGGGTTTAATAAGTTCTTTCACAATACCTTTCGAACTGTATTATCGAAGCTCAGAACTTTCCCACCAAATTTTCAAGTATATTTGGACACCTGTGCACACTTCTGTCGCTATTGGCTGGAAATGCTCATTCATTAATCGCCCAAGTACCCTTGGTACCGGCCTTATCTATTTCCCCGTTTTTGTCAGTACATGTCAGTCCACTCAAACTGAATCACTTATCGAATATATCTTAATTGTTGTCTGGTGCTGCGTACCGTACGAACTTCACTGTCAGAAAAAGTTCGAAATACAACTCCGAACAATTAGCAATTACAGGGAAACAGAAAACGTGGGTGGAATTAACATGATAAATCTGAATTGTCGACTGACTGATATGTTAACAGTTTTTCAAACATTTTCCCCAAAAAACAACTTGATCTGACTATTCAAGGGAATGAAGAAGGGTACAGATAACGAGCTGTGCTATCAATCTTGTAAAAACTTCAAACAGTACAAATCTGTGAACAGAACAGTAAACAATGGCCTGGCGGGATCGTGTGCCAAGGAATATGAAGCATCCCCCGTTGACCGATTACACGCGCCGTGAGCTCACTGTACAGATCAAGTAGACAATTATTCCTCGTCAATTTAGTATTTAATCTAGGCAGAAAATATCAAACTTAGATATACAAAACCACACGGTAGCAAAGTTTGGTATGTTTTCAATTTACCAAAATAGATGAGTTATTAAAAGTAAATAAGATGTATTTACTTTCTTTTTATCTTACTTATGTAGTAAATACCCTTAACACCCGCATACAAGGTTTATATTTCTGATTCGATACGCAAGAATACGTTTAAAACTTTCTAAAACAAGTTATTGATAAACAAGTTGATGAAACAAGAATACCAACACTTTCGGTTACAGTCAACATTTCGCAAGTTCTACTATGGTCGATAGTCGATACAATGAACTTGTCAGCAAAAATATTTATCATTAAGGACATATATACAACTTAATTTGAGCTTAAGGACAGATGATACAAACAAACTTTTGTCTAAAATTTTGAAAATAACAACTTGGGTCATGTTTCAATGAATAAATTGAATAAGTTTCAACGCATAGTTTTGAAGTTTTTATTCCAAGTTGCAGAAAAATGGAATTTAAAGTGAAAAATATTTGTATAGAATAAAAAGGATCACTGAAAGAAAAACCTAGTGAATTTAACTAGTGTGTTTCGTAAAGCGTTGGTCGTGATTAGTAAACTTTCAGTTTACTGGTTAAGATAGTGAGATGTGGAGCGGGGGTCGTATACATGTAGATACTTAGATACCTAGTGAAAGTACTCATCAATTCTAAATTCACTAATCTTATCTAGTAAATATATCAATATCTGGTAAAACTACTATTAGGGTAGTGATTGTATGGACAGTGAATCTACTAGTTTTCCTCGTGACATTAACTAGTTATTTTTTTTACAGTGATGGTTTGAGAAGGGTAGAATTTTGAACACCACAGAAGGTATACAATGTCTTTATACTCCAGAAATTTATTATTTGAATCATTTGCAATGAAATCAGGTTTGAAAAAATATACCAGTACAGGCATCCATTTTTTGTTTGTATCATCTGTCCTTAATTGTTTTTTTTTACTGGAGCTGAAGAGTTCAAACCCGATACTTTTATTAACTACAAAACATTAATTAAATAACTAGATTTTTTTTAATGTTAAAAAAAATTAATTGTGATAAAACTGGAATTAGCATTAATCAAAACATTTAATGTCAAAAGATCAAGTTTTCAAATCAGTTTCTTGGCTTGGTTAACGATATTTTTTCATGTTATATATAATTTTTTAAATTTAAAGTCTTTATACATGGCGAATGAATAATAAAATTCCTAAGACATATTTTTAATGGATTCTTTCCTTATTTTAGCCACATGGTTTCCAAAAGAATTAAGAACTTAATATGGTGATGCACGACGCTTATAAGATTTGTTATAATTTTTAATAAAACTTTTATTATAAATTTTAATCCAAATATGTGTATAAGAGGACCATTAGAACGGCGTCAATGTGTACAAGGATACATTGTAAACATCCTAGATTTTAAAGTTGGATTTGATGCATTTTAACAAGTTCCGACTTAATTTCCATGAATTTAAAAGCCATGGCAAATCATCTTTGAACTTCTAGTGTAATTTCAAAATCGCCTGCTTGAAAATCAATTACTTTTCACGGAAGTTCTAGTTCGAAGTGTCACTTGATAAGTACTCTACCGAGTACAAAATTACAAGTGTCACTAATTCATCAATGACCCTTAACTATTTCGCTGTAAATTATGTACTACATATCAATATTTCGTTTACTTGATATTTTTTAATGCAATTGGTGATAAAAAAAAAACATTAAAAAAATATAAAATTCAAGAGTTTTGTGAAAATTAAAAACTTTTCGAGATATAAATAAATTCATATTCATTATATGTGTAACTTTATGGTCAGCGATGCTCTCTCAAGTGACAACCATCGTTTGTGAGCAACTTCGTCCAGTCATTGGCAAAGTTGATGTCACTCGCTGACACGACAGGTTTCTGCTTATCAGTGATGTCTTGATTTTTGCTTCTCGAGTTATCCCCTTTGTTCTGTTCGTTCTGTCCGCTGTTACCTCGACTAAATATTTGGTCTTCTGGTGTAGACTGTAAGGGACACACAGTGGCCTGCCTCAGACGAACTTTTCCACCTAAAATACAAAGACAATGTAGCACATAACGTGCAGGCCTATAAAAAAGCCAATGGCATTTGTCAGCGAATTTAATGTCAGTGACTGGTGGCGTTGATGATGGTTTGGCGATAAATCGAAATGTTCGATGCCAACTCAAGGGCATCCATATATCATATAAATTTTTCTTCGTTTAATATTTCAATTAGAGCAATATAAAAGTAGCCCCATTTTCGTACAGTATTTTTCCAAGTTGTACAAAGTGTTCTACATTTTATATGCCAAATATGCCATATTTTTTACTTGTCATTATATGTCAGATGACATACATACTGTTTCAGGGGCAAATTGTGTGAGTTGGCAATTTGTAATAATACCTTGTTTGTACTTTTATATGTATATTACCGTTACTTAACTTAGTATTTGAATTTAGATCGGATTTTCTTTACTGTCATTTATTATTCATTGTAATAAATGACCTATTTTTTTCTTGTTTTTAATTAATGAAGGCAAACTGTAATAAATTAATTTATGAACACATGCGTCTCATTTCCTCAAAAATTACATTTTCTTTGGGAACCAAGGAAGTAGTAATTGATATACTACCTTGTTTTTCCGGCTCGTGCTTTCTCGGAAAACATGGTAAAATCTGCTTTGTAATTTTCCCTGAATAACCGTGAGAAGTCCCGCTCGCTGCGACAAATAAAAATGAAAATTAAATTATAAAAATGCATGCACTGTTTTAATTAATCTAATTCATATTCAGTTCACATTTTGTGATCTACATGTATCAATTAACGACGATATGATGTCGTTATAATTTACGCTTACGTGTTCCCATTAGCGTACTGCTGTCTTCTTTAGCCATCGTACTGGTCGGGTGCTCCGACTCCTGATCCTGAAGTTCTCTCCAAGCCGCTGCTCCTGTTGGACTTTGGTGATATCCACCTAGGAATATCATTATTTACCAAGGGTCAAAATAAAACTCCAGCCAAATACATCGTGTTTTTAATTGCTTTGCAAAGAAAACAAGAGGCCCACGGGCCTTATAGGTCACCTGAGCATTCTGCAACAACTTTCCAGTTATTGAATTTGATTCATGTTTTAAGCCAGATGCTATATGGCATTCACAATTTTGAAAGAAGCACCATTGATCATCATAAAAATACACTTAGCAGTTGCTTAGGTTGGTTTATTGATTTAAATATGCCCAATAATAAGTTCATAGGATCTTCATGAACGTTTCATGAACATTTCATGAATAAAATGCATGAAAAATTCAAGGAAATTCATGAATTATTCATAATCACCTCGCAAGGGTACTGATACCCATACGCAAGGTAGGGGGAAAAAATGCATTCCAACTGATCAGTAATATTCAGCAATAATCAGTAATGCCCCTAACACTGTGAAATAAACCCCTGACCCTAGGTCCACACATTGCACAAATTTTAAAAAGGCACCGTTAAAATTGTTTATCAAAAAATAAATAAATGTTTTATAAATACAAGGGAGCAGATTTCAAACAATTAATTCATTTTCAGTATATAAGTAGAGCTCCACCCCCACCCCTGACCCTGGGGCCTTGAAATTCAAAATTTTGCAAGATAAGGGCCCTTGCTCACCAAAACTATTTATGTAGTTCATCTGCTTCATACCCAGTGACAGAGAAGAAAATATTTCAAAGATATAATGTATATTCACTATATAATCAATAGAGCCCCATCCCCCCCCCCCCCCCCCCCCGAACCCCTGACCCTGGGACCATAAAATTCACAGTTTTGGTAGAGGCACTCTTGCTCATCATAACTATGTACTTAGTTAGTTTATTTAATACCTAGGAGCAGAGAAGAAGATTTTAAAAAATTCATGTATTTTTACTATATAATCAATAGAGCCCCACCCTAACACCAGAACCCCTGACCCTGGGACCATAAAATTCACAATTTTGGTAGAGGCACTCTTGCTCATCTTAACTATGCACTTTGTTAGTTTATTTAATATCTAGGAGCAGAGAAGAAGATTTTCAAAGAATTCATGTATTTTTACTATATAATCTATAAAGCCCCCCCCCCCCCAACACCAGAAGCCTTGACCCAGGGACCATAAAATTATTCACAATTTTGGTAGAGGCACTCTTGCTCATCATAACTATGCACTTAGTTAGTTTATTTAATACCTAGGAGCATAGAAGAAGATTTTCAAAGAAATCGTGTATTTTCACTATACAATCAATACCCCCCCCCCCCCCCCTAACACCAGAACTCTTGGCCCTAGGGCCATAAAATTCACAATTTTGGTAGAGGCACTCATGCTCATCATAACTATGCACTTAGTTAATTTATTTATAAATATCTAGGAGCAGAGAAGAAGATTTTCAAAGAATTCATGTATTTTTACTATATAATCTATAAAGCCCCCCCCCCCCCCTACCAGAACTCCTGACCCTGGGACCATAAAATTCATAATTTTGTTAGAGGCACTCTTGCTCATCATAACTATGCACTTAGTTAGTTTATTTGATACCCAGGGGCAGAGAAGAAGATTTTCAAAGAAATCATGTATTTTCACTGTATATAATCAATAGAGCCCCACCCTAACACCAGAACCCCTGACCCTGGGGCCATAAAATTCACAATTTTGGTAGAAGCACTCTTGCTCATCATAACTAACTACTTAGTTGGTTTATTTAATACCCAGGAGCAGAGAAGAAGATTTTCAAAAAAATAATGCATTATCACTACCTACTTATTTAGCCCTGCCCTAGCACTAAAACCCCTGACCCCAGGGCCATGAATTTCACAATTTTGGTAGAGGACTCAATGCTGATTACAATCATGCAAACAGTTTGACTGCTTGATGTCCAGGAGTAAAGAAGAAGATTTTTAAAGATTGCATTAATTGTAGTGGTTTTGGCCCCACCCCTCAGGCCCCAGGGGGGCAGGGATCATGAAATTCACAATTTTTGTTCCCCTTCACCCATAGATGCTTTGTGCCAAATTTGGTTGAAATTGGTTCAGTGGTTGCAGAGAAGAAGCTGAAAATGTTCAAAAGTTTACGAACGATGTACGACGTACAACGTACGACGTACGACGAACGACGACGGACGAAAACAGATAGCAATAGGTCACCTGAGTTTACTCAGGTGACCTAAAAATGACTAAAATTAAATAAATTCATATTTTATTGTTTTCATATTTTTGACCCCATAGTTTCCATCCATATGTTAACTATGATATATATACATCGTTATACATGTACCAATACTTCAAAGAAATCATTAATTATATTAAATTGTGACGTGGCAAACTTTTCCTACCTGCACAACAAGCACTACAACTGCAGCATTTCAAGCACATAACAGAACACGGGACGCAGGTACCACATGCCCTCACACAAGGGTGATTGCGCAATCGTCCTATCCGCCATATCAGATAGCCGGGCCTCCAAAAGCACCAGAAGAAGAAAACAAAGACGACAAGCGCAGCCAGGATTACATACAGGGCCGTGTAGTCAGGCTCTGTGGGTGGGGGAGGGGGAGCAGGGGTGGTTGTTGTGGTCGTTGCAATCTCTGAAAAAAAGAAAAACAACGTGTTCAAAAATATAACTATTTTCTTCATTTCGTTTGACTTTTCAGTTATCAGGTATAATATAATATTTTTAATATATTCAGTTCTTATTAATTGTATTATTTTCAAAGTAAAAACGATTTTATTTCAGCCAATTTCAAACACAATATTTCGATTAGTTTTTAACTTAGTTCAGCGTAATTATTATTTTTCATTTAATAAGAAGCAGTTTTCCTTATAACTACATACATGTACATGTATATGTAAATTTAATGTTTTTTTCTTGATATGAAGATTAAATGAATGCAGAAAAAAATCTTTTATTTACTGAAGCAGTTTCCTGGCAGTTTTCTGCTGGTG